TTCGATGGGCGGAAGGTACACTGATTCCATCGGCTACTGGAAGTGCTGACACTTTTAAAAGCGCTGTCCTACTCAAGTACTGCTTATAACTCAATCACCCTGTTCGGCAGGAAAAGGCAATGCATCAGCTCACTGGAAAGTATTGGTACTTCAAAGCACCCAGTGCTTTGAAAATGCTGTAATACTTCCAAAGTACTGATGCACCAAAGTGACCTTCCCGAACATCCCCGAACAGGCCGAAACAGGCGATTGAGCACTGAGACACCTGGAAAGTACTGCAGTACTTTGAAAGTAGGACAGTGCTTTGAAAGTACTGTAATACTTCCAAAGTACTGATGCACCAAAGTGACCTTCCCGAACATCCCCGAACAGGCCGAAACAGGCGATTGAGCACTGAGACACCTGGAAAGTACTGCAGTACTTTGAAAGTAGGACAGTGCTTTGAAAGTACTGTAATACTTCCAAAGTACTGATGCACCAAAGTGACCTTCCCGAACATCCCCGAACAGGCCGAAACAGGCGATTGAGCACTGAGACACCTGGAAAGTACTGCAGTACTTTGAAAGTAGGACAGTGCTTTGAAAGTACTGTAATACTTCCAAAGTACTGATGCACCAAAGTGACCTTCCCGAACATCCCGAATAGGCCGAAACAGGCGATTGAGCACTGAGGCACCTGGAAAGTACTGCAGTACTTTGGTGTCGTGCTCAATCATTGGCCTGTTCGGATGTTCGGAGAAGTCACTGAGGTGTCGGCTCACTGTGAGCTGACCACAGTACTCAAAGTACTGTCCTACTAATTTCTGTCTTTTTTTTGTACAGTGCTCAATCATTTCGGCCTGACCAGAAGATGTTCAGGCTGCTGAAGTATCAGCTGATAGCTGCTGATCTGCTTTGAAAAATATATGTCTCCAAAGTACTGATGCACCAAAGTGACCTTCCCGAACATCCCCGAACAGGCCGAAACAGGCGATTGAGCACTGAGACACCTGGAAAGTACTGCAGTACTTTGAGTAGGACAGTGCTTTGAAAGTACTGTAATACTTCCAAAGTACTGATGCACCAAAGTGACCTTCCCGAACATCCCCGAACAGGCCGAAACAGGCGATTGAGCACTGAGACACCTGGAAAGTACTGCAGTACTTTGAAAGTAGGACAGTGCTTTGAAAGTACTGTAATACTTCCAAAGTACTGATGCACCAAAGTGACCTTCCGAACATCCCCAGATAGGCCGAAACAGGCGATTGAGCACTGGGGCACCTGGAAAGTACTGCAGTACTTTGAAAGTAGGACAGTGCTTTGAAAGTACTGTATGCTTCAAAGTACTGATGCACCAAGTGACCTTCCCGAACATCCCCGAATAGGCCGAAACAGGCGATTGAGCACTGAGGCACCTGGAAGAATACTGCAGTACTTTGAAGTACTTACTGGGCAGTAGGACAGTGCTTTGAAACACTTCAAAGTACTGATGCACCAAAGTGACCTTCCCGAACATCCCCGAATAGGCCGAAACAGGCGATTGAGCACTGAGGCACCTGGAAAGTACTGCAGTACTTTGAAAGTAGGACAGTGCTTTGAAAGTACTGTAATACTTCCAAAGTACTGATGCACCAAAGTGACCTTCCCGAACATCCCCGAACAGGCCGAAACAGGCGATTGAGCACTGAGACACCTGGAAAGTACTGCAGTACTTTGAAAGTAGGACAGTGCTTTGAAAGTACTGTAATACTTCCAAAGTACTGATGCACCAAAGTGACCTTCCCGAACATCCCCGAACAGGCCGAAACAGGCGATTGAGCACTGAGACACCTGGAAAGTACTGCAGTACTTTGAAAGTAGGACAGTGCTTTGAAAGTACTGTAATACTTCCAAAGTACTGATGCACCAAAGTGACCTTCCCGAACATCCCGAACAGGCCGAAACAGGCGATTGAGCACTGAGACACCTGGAAAGTACTGCAGTACTTTGAAAGTAGGACAGTGCTTTGAAAGTACTGTAATACTTCAAAGTACTGATGCACCAAAGTGACCTTCGAACATCCCAGACAGGCCGAAACAGGCGATTGAGCACTGAGACACCTGGAAAGTACTGCAGTACTTTGAAAGTAGGACAGTGCTTTGAAAGTACTGTAATACTTCCAAAGTACTGGTGCACCAAAGTGACCTTCCCGAACATCCCCGAACAGGCCGAAACAGGCGATTGAGCACTGAGACACCTGGAAAGTACTGCAGTACTTTGAAAGTAGGACAGTGCTTTGAAAGTACTATAATACTTCCAAAGTGCTGATGCACCAAAGTGACTTTCCCGAACATCCCCGAACAGGCCGAAACAGGCGATTGAGCACTGAGACACCTGGAAAGTACTGCAGTACTTTAAAAGTAGGACAGTGCTTTGAAAATACTGTAATACTTCCAAAGTACTGATGCACGAATGTGACCTTGCCGAACAGGCCGATTAAGCACTGAGGCACCTGGAAAGTACTGCAGTACTTTGAAAGTAGGACAGTACTTTGAAAGTACTGTAATACTTCAAAGTAGTGATGCACCAATGTGACCTTGCCGAACATCCCCGAACAGGCCGAAACATGCGATTGAGCACTGAGACACCTGGAAAGTACTGCAGTACTTTAAATGTAATGTAAAGCAGTACTTTGAAATGGTTGTAATTTTTTAAAGTACTGGTGTACGAGAGTTACCTTACCGAATAAACCGATACAGAAAAAACCGATACAGACGATGCAATTAAAGATTGTTCAGTCTTATGAATTTAATAACAGTGACAATACTTCTTATTGTACCATGGTGCTATATAGTGCAATAAACATGCAACGACGACGACGACATGTTAATTTTAATGAGTTTACTGTTAGGCCATAACAGTAATGTAATGCACCATACTGGTACAGATCTTTACCTTTACCGGCAAAACTGCTTTCGAGTACTGGAAAACACGTAATTAATCAAATAGGAGATTATTAAATGAAACGTTGATTTCGCCTGATTTAGCAGCTACAATTTTTGACATGGTGTATCATCATCAAAGCCGGTACCCTTTACTAATGTTATTATTAATTAGCTTCATTTTTCTCCGCGACTTTCTAAATGAGTAATCGAGTAAAAGATTGAAAAGCTGTATCTGCGTTCTCTGATATAAATAATTTCTTTCGCATTCCACTTACGCATGCACTGGAATGGCTCGTATCTGCATACTATGCAGATACGAGCCATTCCGCTGCCATGATACCTCGGCTCATGGTTGAGCAGTTGCAAAAGCAATGTTTGCATCAGCGAACCATAATCACAGTAACCAACAAAGGTCTTGATATACTGAATGTGGAAGAGCATGGATCTACCTCTGTAATAACGTAAAACGCGCACCATCGTTACTGAGCAGTTTGCTAGTGCTTCCGTTTCTCTATGAAACGTCATCGATGCCGGTTCGGCACTTAGGAACAAGCAGAGTCATTCTCGTACTACTTCCTGCACATCTTTGGTTTTCCGGCCGGGGTTAACCAGCGTAATGATTCAGCAAATGTCAAATTAGCCACGATTACTAAACCATCACAGCGGGTAATCGTTTGTAATTCGTTTGTAATCGTTCTTATAAAGCGGCCACCGCACCTCCTACCTCTCACAGAAATTAGGTTCCCCCAAAGACGTTTCCGAAGCTGCAAAGAACCCCTGCCTACAAATTTTGATATAGTGTGAATTTTCTACTGTAAACAATTTTCTTAAATTTCAAACTATTTTAACAATGAACACTGTTAACGCGAATTTTTCGTTTCGAAATACAAGCGCGTCGAACGCGACCGCTTTAGCGGAGCCAATCAGTTCATCCTACGTGGCATTAGTCGTTCTTCATATTACCGCGCTCCCGCCCAACTCGGTGCTGGTCTTTACATTTCTAACGTTAATCACCACAAAAGTGCCCTTTGATTTTTATTTTATCAGCCAACTGTTCGTCAACATCCTCTTTGACTCCACCTCCTTGGCTTTCTCGGCCTTCAACGCCTTCGCCCCGAATTTAAACATTCGTGTTCCTGGATGCGTCTTCTACGTGTACACCGTGTACGCCGTGTACGCGTTCAACATCGGCCAGCCACTGAACCACGCGGTCATTGCCCTTAACCGCATTTGGGCCATGGTGCACCCGGTCAGCTTCCGTGACTTCCAGAGTAAGCGCGCCGTCGGCCGTGTAATTGCCGTAATGTGGATAGTTGCCCATACCATTGCCCTCAGCGGTGTAAACCGCGTGAGTGCATTTTTTGTACAGTTGGTTCTTGCTGACTTTCTGTGATACAATATCGTTTCTATACGCTGTCGGCTCTTCGTTGTCTATAGATAAGTCGTCGGTGTTAATTTTAATACTTTCTAGCAAGGAACCGCTTTAGTATGATTTAGTGGGCTTTAGCATGATTTTTCTCTTCAGCCGGAATTATGATACTGTAGATCTGCAAAAGGCGCAAAAATTCTCAGAACGCTGTCTCAATAACCAGTTGCTTGATCTACAAAAATTGTCTAATTACTGTTTGTTCAGTGGTTCTATAATGCCGTCAGTTCGACATACAAATGCTGATGTAAAGTTCAAATACTTCCGTAAGCAGAGTAAATGCACGAGCTATCCCAGTCCACGTGTTTGTTTGTGTGCGCTTTCGTTTCCCGTTAAGAGCAGGAAATCCGCTACTGGTGCAGATTTGATTCTCAGTTAGAGTACATTTTCTGCCCAAAAGTACTTCCTTTGAGAGTGAATAACGTTAGTGACTTCGCAAATGTCAAAATCGTGAACAACCAACTTGAACTATCTTTTATAGTGTGAAATGTAGTTTGATTTGCGTGAGATCCATTCTAATTATGATAAACTTACGCCAGAGGTTTGTTTCACGCTCGACTGGCTACGGAGGGAAATAAGCAACTCAAACGGCATGCACTGTATAACTACAAACCGGAAAACGGAAATGTTTTTCATTCGTATTCTTTGAACAGCCAAATTCCGACGTTTGCCTTATTTCAAATGGGATTATGATGTCTTAGTGTCACATTTGGCCGATATGTCTTACAACGACAAGTTAATTGCAAACAGTAACTATACATATCAAAAGGATGATGCTAGAGCCTCACAATTTGAATTCCTTATTAATTTTACAATACCACTTCGAATTTTCAGGAAGCTTCTAGCTCTGCAGGTTGGAAAAGAATACGAGGTCACCAAAGCAGTTATGGATGCACAGCATGCACTCATCCGAACAGGAAAACACCGGATCTTGATACCCGATAACGAAGCCTGAATTCTCAAACTAAGGCCAAAGAACACGTAGCAAAATAAATCCAAAGAACTCGTAGCCTGGACGTGGAGTCCATATATGCTTGTTCTCGTAGTTAAGTCGCTCAGTCGCTCAGATCTAGTTACTGGAGAAGGGCCAGTTCCAGTGCATTCCGTTGTAGTGCGTCCAGTCCTACAACAAACAGCAATGAACAGTTAACTGGCGTGTTCCTGAATTATTTAAAATTATATGCACAGGTACCTGAAGGGGAAAGGCGCTGCGGACTCGCACGCCGGTCCGCACTTTGCACGGTTGTTGCCGGTGTCACTGTGTTATTGCTGGGCAAAACCAAATGGGCAGAGTCACACGAACCGACTGCTCCGGGGTTAAGAAAAATTCGATCTCCATTGTACTCCACTTCCAACACAATCTGGGGATTGTCCGATGGAGATGTGTGCAGCCTGTTCAGCGACAGCGTGGCCCCGATCAGGTCAGTCAGTTGCGGTGACCAGCCTCCGAATTCTTCGGTTTGCACCGACTGAAATGCGTCTTCAGTAAGGATTACGCGCACATTATCGCCACTCTGGATGGAGGAACCGTCGCCGCACAGCACTATAATATGAAGCGTTAGATTTTGAACCGGTGTTACTAGAAATCTATCTGACCTTTGTCGATCCTTCGCAATGCTTTCATATTGAAACAGTTGACATCCTTGCCGACACTGACTACGGCACCACCATCTTGATCAAAAAATAGAATTTCCCCCAATTTTCCCAGCGCAGCCAAATGTTCATCATCTAGACCGCCATGATTCTTTTGCAGCTCACGGACGATGTCGAGATTCGCTTCTACGCGCACAATATCTTTATCCTTAATCACTTGGCCTTCGGCGTCTCGACCGACGTATCCATCTGCAAAATACAGTAGCATTACATGTTCTTTTAGTCGTCAATCGCTTTTGTAACTGCGTACCTCGCGAAAGAACTGTTAGGGCTTCCGGATGACACAGCACAATCCGCAGCGCCGGTATTGGGGGCCCATAGAGTTTCACTTCCACGTCACCGTTGGACGTAATCATCTCGACAACCCCAAAATGGCCACACAGTTCCGCTATAAAATTCAGCTTGTGCTCTGCCTGCTTCATGCGCACCAGTGCCTCGTCGTGCTTGATTCCGACATGGCTGCCGACAACCGGTCGGCCCAGGCGAAGCGATAAATTGATGGTGCGATTCAACAGTTTCCAGTTGACCAGGTGAGATTTCAGCAGCATGGCCGTCTTCAGTGCTTCAGTTGCTGTAATACAACATTCCACATTTACTCAATTACATTTTGGTACACATACAGTGCTTACCTAGAATGTATAGCTATTTATTTGGTCGTTAACTACGCAGCGAGCGAAGCAAATGCAATTTGTTTCATATCGTTTCTTTTTCGCTACTTTTCTTAAACAACAACTGACGTAGCTCGAACTAGAATAGAATGTCTTCGCGCCGCTGCATACTCCAAGAAGCTCCTTCAAGTGCTTTCAAGAACTTGCTATAGCCATAGTAAGTATTATAGTGCTACTATCCAACTATAGCAAGGCCTGTTACTTAGTATTATAATTTTCCGCTACACATTATCAGACATACCATTACCATTTTTCAAGCGGTCCAACCGAGAAGCCAGCACTGCTGTGCGATTATTCCGCACGGCATTACACAGACTAATCGCCAAGTCGTCATGATCCCCGCTAATCGCAAACCTTACGCACTGCCAAACATCATCCAGCGCATACTGGTCAATGCGTCGGTCCGCTGTTAAACAGTCGGCCACTTTCTCATTCCCAAACATAGCCGCCATCCCGAGAGCGTTGACTCCGTCTTCATCCTTCAGCGTCGGATCACACTGTGGATGAGCCAGAATGGCGCTAATCATCGTCACACGATCTTCTTCGTCTGCACTGCCACCCGCAAAAGCACACATCATTAGCGCTGGCATCTTTTTGAAACCGGTAGATGTCATGTTGATGTCGATGGACGGAGTGTCCACGAGAAGCTGAACAATGGGTGGACTGCGTCCACATGCGGCCAGCATCAAGGGCGTCAAGCCGGCTACTTTATGGTTAACATAGGCTGATGCTTGTTGAAGGATGGCTTGAACGCCGGCAATGTCTTCTCTCAAAATGGCGGAATGCAGTGCAGGTACCTCTTCCAGTGGCTGTACTGGTTCGCTTGGGTCGCTCGGTTTCATGTTGTTATTGAGGACCTCTGGAAACATAAGTCACCGGCTACAAGCTTGTAGTTGACTGTTTGCTTGGGTTTATTTAAGCTTTGATTTCGATCAGAATCTTGCTGTCTGATCTCAGTGATCTGTGAGTACGTACCTTTTGCAGCCGCGAGAAGTACCTTCTGGACCTCTTCGGGAACACTGTCTACAATTGCTCCCACCAAATCCGCATTTTCGCTCTTTACGGCCAATGCGCATACTTTGGCGACATCCTCCACTGGATACTGTTTAATCCGATCGCTGCGTAGCAGGCACCCAATGATGGCGGAGTTTTCGGTGCGTACCGCTATTTCCAGTGCTGTCCAGTTATCGGCGTTCCGCAGACCCAAGCGGCATCGGGGATGTGCCGCTATAAGTTCCGCTTTCTGCAGCTTGCTGGCGTTTGCGCCGGGATGGCTTGCCAGAAGCACGGCAGTCATCAGCGGAGTATTTCGCTTGGGTGTAGCCGCTTTGTTGACATCCAGGCGTGGACACTGCAGCAGTTCATGAAGAATGCCTATATCAGCCGTGTCCCGCAGCGACAGTGTTAGGGGTGTTTCTCCGTTGAATTTACGATTGACCGCACTGCTGCTGGCTTTTGAACAGAAGTGACGCACTTGCGGTATGTTCCCTTCAGACACGGCTGTGTGCAGAGTTCCTGCTGCAAAAAATTAAATACTGCTTAGTTAATTCGTCATCAGGATTTTAACAAACTCACATATGCTACGAAATTGTTTTTCTGAAGGCTTTAGTAAGAGTTAACCCAGATACCTGAAGGCGTATGTAACGGAACCGCGTTAATTACCGTCGGTAATTAAAGAGTGTTTTTGCTGACGTCACAGTGACGTGTATCAAAATTGCTCGTAAGAAAATTGTTTAGGAGACGCCAAGGAGCAATCGGAGAAACAACAGCTGTAGCGCTACGTAATTTAATTTATCGTGAGTTGGAAATTTTCCTAATTACGTGTCTAACAGCGAAAGATTCTAACTTCTCGAAGAAATTTGGTTTTTACTTTTTGGTAGCCGATGTGATAACAAAGATCTACACGATGATGTGGGCTTACCTTCTGTGCTAAACGAAGACCCCATGACAGGATGGAAAAGAGGCAGAGATCCTGTTTCGACTGTGTTTGGTTGCCTGTAAACTGTTAGGCTGTTGATTGTTTAAATTCTTGATACTAACGGCTGTGGCTCATGGTCCAGCGCGTATTTATATGCCTGAAAAAGTCTTAGCCGTGTTCAGTTTGAGCGTAAAACATGATCTGATCTGGACTTGACGCGCTACTGAATGATGATCTGCAACGATAGTCTGTAGAATACTAAGCTCACGGCGCCGGGCGCAGCATTGTGACGAAACAACTAGCACTATGAGTCTATGACTATAACTATGACTTCACTACAAATGCATATTTTATAAAACGATGATTATATCCGTTTCTTACACTTTGGATTTTGTTGCCTGACGCATGAATACTGTCATCTGGATTCACATGTATTTTACTGAAACGTTAATTCCAATTTGACGAATAAGCCTAGGCTGCCCAGTGCCTACTTAGCAAAGAAATGGGAAATGCGCCCGTAAACTTTCGTAAGTATCTGTATACGTGCTTTCTTTTTAACACAGGTGCAATGAATACAATATTCACAATCCTTATGACGGTTTAAGATCCCAAAATATTTTAGTGTTTATGAAATGTTTTATGTTTTAAATCGTATGTACTTTGGTTTTTTAAAGGGTCGAATAAACAGCAGTCGTTTCCAGACAAAGATCCCCGGACGCCTGCGCTTCGTCTTACGTTCTTCGAAGAAGGTTGAATGAAGGACGAACTGAATAATTTGACGCAGCATCGAAACACAGTAATATGTAATACAGTACTACAATGTAGGACTAAATGGTCGCATAGCCCCATACCCAGCATTCTGTACGCAAGCGGTGCAGTTCACTTGTACGAAACGGATATTTTGAACTCAGTCGTACAGTGCACTGCGCTGCATTCGTACTGAATGTGGAGATATTGGGTATGCGACCATTTTGTCCTAAGCTGTATGTAATACAGCACCGCGCTACTGTTCATCTTTACCATCTTGCGTTTTTAAAGCAAAGCAATAATGCGTTCCTGACTTCCCTGTGTAAAACTCTTTATGCCTCATTAAGTGAACGGGAAAGCTCTGACGCTCAGTGTTTCTTATAAGATTTCGACATCATTCTGTGTTTCTTTTCCCGGTCAGGGGCCTGAAACTCGCTGTTGGCGCAGAGCCAACGCCAACTTTTCTTCCTCAACACTTTCAAACATTTTCTCCAAGCGTGAGAAGCAGTATTAACCATTAGTTAGTAAATCGGATAAATTAAAATTGTGCACAAGCGCTCTGGGTAATCTCCAAGACAGTTAGAACGTTCTGTTGCGTCACATTTGTGTGCCATGCGGTTCGGTCTACGCTATTACAAATACCACATCAGAGCGTTTTGTTAAGAATATTGCACACCTTTTTGTTTCTGCCTGCATTTCGTATTTAAGGACGCCGAGGCAAAACAAGGTAAGACTACGGACCGTCCGATTGTACGCCGATACCTGCCAGATGCATAAACTACAAACAGTATTTTCACGTGTAGAAGACTAATAAACAATTGGTCCCCGCCTTTAAAGCAGTTCTAATGCGAAACGTCAACCCAACTTTTGGAACAGCATGGATTCTCACGTGCGCTTTGCTAACACGGGAATTAGTAACTCAACTGCCGTACAGTAATATACAACAACCGGAAAGATCTAGCACTTTACTCTATCTCCTTTGCACAGTCCGGATGTTGGTAGTTTAAGGGGGTCCGTTGTAATTCTGTTGTAGTTTAAGGGGGATTATCGCCCCTTAATGTCAGATTTGTCCGACATTCCCTATGGCAATAATATGGCTGTTATCGTGATTTTGTGCGCGTGAATAAAGGTCACGTCTGCCACTCAATTATTAGAAACCAGTACTCGTATGTATGCAGCAGAAAACCGGGACAAATATGACATAAGCAATTTCTCCAGTTACAGTAGTTAATTAATCAGCCGACTTTATTAATGAGTCTATAGTATCTTTGACTCGACACGCACCCCCAAACAGGCAGCACAGCCCGTCGCCTCAGAAGGCGCATCATTACATTGCAGCTGCTACCGGAAATAATGGCTTGTTTTCGGTAGATTTGTGGCAGTTTAATTAAGAGCAAATGTGGCAACCGGAATACCACACCAAGCCGTGTATCAGCATCTCGTTGATATAGATCTCTTCGATACTTTGACCTTGCGCGTAAGGAAGATGCTGTTCAATGGTGGAAATACTACAGCTAGGAGGAGTACAAATATTTGTAAGACAGTGTAGGCTGCCGTACAACCTGCAACGTCGCAGTATTTCCGACCATTAATTTCCGGGATTTCAAAAACTACGGTTTTGAGGATATCAAAATTTAAAGGTACCTAGAGAAATCGCACAGCCGTCAGAAAGCGAAAAGAGCTGAACAGAACAGTCGGAATAAGCACTTTCTTTTTCCTAATATTTTACTAAAAAATACTACGCCTATCCATTATAGCTCTGGTGGTAATCCGAAGATTAGTTTGTCTTTTCGATCCTTGTTTGCCTACAAATGTAACCGATCGGCAAATTGACCGCTTTTAATTTTCCAGTTTATAGCGACGAAACATGGCGAACAATTCCTCTACACATATGATAATCCCGTACGCCATTTTTGGTTGGAGTGCTCTAACAATCTTTAATGTCTTCAGTATGATCTCTGGGATCATCCTGAACAGTGTGGCTATCTATATTATCTACCTGGACCGGCAAAACTTTACTCGCTTTCCGCATTTACATCATTAATCTTCTCATTTGCAACTTACTCCATGCCACCATGAATAAACCAGCCGCAATATTGTTGCATTGGAACGCAACCAATTTCCACAATCCGGAACTTTGTGACCTTTTTATTTTCGCCACTTCCATCACGCTAACCTCCACGATGCATGCCAACCTGCTGATGACGCTGAACCGATTTTGGGCGGTGACCTTTCCCAATTCCTACCGTCTGCGACATAAGGTGAAACTGGCATGTAGCGCATGCGTTATCCTGTTTTTCTACAGTCAAATTATAAGTCTCCCGGCGTTGATCATCGATTCCTTGTACTACCGTCTCGCTACAACGGTAATCCCAGCGTGCTCGGCCAATCAGCCAGCACAACCCAGGACACTGGATGCGCGGGCTATTCACGCGTTGTTGTTGCCGGAACTGCTGACCATTGGATTGTTTCCGGTCATCGTTTGGCAACGTCAACGAAGGATTAGTAAGCGGCTCAGAATAGCACAAAACCCAAACGCGGTTTTACCGGGGGCACTGACCAATTCAGCGCCCCACAAACCTTCTCGGCGGCGCTCGCCCAACAACATGGTAACCTTTTATCTAATGATGGGCTCCATCCTGGTGTGCTGGACGCCGATAACCGTAACAACGATTTCGAACTACGCTACGACCGTTTCTGACACTCACATTTTTATGGTTGTCGGTAATATGTTCTCCTGCCAGATTATTCTGGATCCGATCCTGCTGATCATTGCCTCCGCGGTTGTGGCGAAATGGGACCGGAGAGCGGACAACGTGCAAAATGCACGACATACCAACGCTGCGGCTTTATATACATGAAAACCGAACACTCCTTTTTTCGTAATACTGTTGTCCGTTGTACAATAATAGTAATTATTATTTTGTGTACGCCGTACATTATTTTAGTCATAACCTAACTTCTATCGGTACAATTTCGCACTTCGTTTTACAGATGCGAGTTAGCATTCGTCCCGGTCGTTTAAAACTGCCAAAATTCCGCTTGTCATTTCAGTTTTTTTATAACACAAGTCATAATTAATTTCAGTTCTGTGTGAATAAGCAGTCACACGACTCAACCCATTTGAACCAGTGAATTTTTGCATTATAATCATACGATTCTGCGGTGATACAGATAATTCTGGTATACAAATTCCTTGATCCCCGGCCGAACAGCAAACCAATAACAACACCACGTACAGTAATTAAGCATCCCCGTAAATGCCATGGGCTGTATACATCCGACAGCTTTTCACTTTCGTTTAAGGATTTATCTGACGTTTTTTAGATAAGCAGATTCAAGCCAATCGCAGCCGTTTACAGTGAAAATAAAACTGCATTCGCATGAAATGTTTGCAGAAGGACCCGCTTTCGTTAAATCTATAGACGAATATAAAATCTGTAAAACTGGATTGTTTGTAAAACTTGCTTTTGCCTGGTGGCACTTGTCTGCTGGATAATATATATATATATACCATACCTATTCCACTGATTTGATTGTTGTTAATTCAAATAATTTTATTACTTTGGTGCATCTGACTGTCATCTGGTTAGATGTTTGTTGCGAGATGCCTGCCAAAATAGTTTAACTAACTGGTCGACATTATGTGCCTTCGCAGCATCTCAAATTTGAATTGGCAGTCGCATAAGCAAAGTCACGTATTACGAGGAATCCCCTGACTGAAGAATCATCCTGCAGACAGAATGGAGGTGCGGCATACGGTCCGGTAAACATCACTTTTCACATGAATGCATACCGTATTCCCTCCATGCATAAAATACGGTAAAACAGAATATTTTATTAACATAACAGACTTAGAAAACCGAGCGAAATACGTACCTCTGTATGTGCAAATATGTCTATAATTCTGTTCGTCTGCGGAGTATGTATTTAGAACACAGTATCAGCTGCATATGATGGATTTGGACCTGCAAGGCCAAAAACAACCTAATTTTTTTATCAACCAGAGGACGGCTCTTACTGCACAGTTTTCCGGGAGCATGAATTTTTTAAACGAAGATTACCATCTTCATAGTAAAATCCTCTTTAGTATTCAGCTAGTTTCTGCTCGTAGGTACTATAGTTTGTAGTACAGTTTGTGTTTATACTCTCGAGGAACTAACGGTTACCCCAGGAAGCGTTTTTGTATGCGTATCTCCAACGCGTTTATCTTTATAGAACAATTTTGTCATATCGCTCATCCCACCAAATGGACGACAGGAAGCGGAACCACGAAGTGCACCAGTACAATTTCATCCTGTGCAGCACGGGTAAAACGGTCGCTCTCCGACAGCTACCCTAGGGTGACACCAGTCGGGCAGTCGATCCACGCATGACCGGATGTTGGTGCGTTGCCCCCACAATTCACCCAACTACGCGCAAGTAATTCGGTAATGACACCGGGGCCCTTTATCATTCAATGCGACACGTTTAACCCAAGCACTGGTTGACAGTGGAAAACTTTCTACAATTTCCGGCATACATACAGAGATACCCAAACCTCCCCAGAGGATTGTGCTGTCAAACTGTGAATGTGAACATCCTCCGAAATCCTAAACTAAACCATATAAATATTCCTTTCCACATGCAGATTTTCCAGTGCACAATTTTGTCCTACTTTTGCAACATGAACCGCTCGTGGAATGCCAGTGACCTTTCGGTGATCACCACCCGTGTATCAGGGAACGACACTTCATCAGCCGAACCTATCGTCGCTTCCTATGTAGCGCTAGTCGTCGTCCACCTAATCGGCTTCCCCCTGAACGCTATCATGGCAATCATGTTCCTCACGCGCATCACCAAAGTTCCGTTCGATTTCTACTTTCTCAGTCTGTTGGCGGTCAACGCGCTCTTCGACGGGATTATGCTGCCGTTCTCCTCCATCAACGCGTTCTACCCCCACTTGCATATCGGCGAGGCCGGGTGTGTGTTCTACGTGTACGCCGTCTACGTCTTCAACATCGCCCAACCGGTCAACCACGCTGTTATCGCCCTCAACCGCATCTGGGCCATGGTCCATCCCATCAGTTTCCGGGAGGCACAGAGTCGCCGCTTAGTCGGCCGGGTCATTGCGGTCATGTGGATCATCCCGCACGCCATCGCGTTGTCCACGGCGACGGTCAGTGTCACCGCTCGGCACGCCGATCAGATCATCTTCTGCTTCAATTTCGTAATTGCGCCCTCGCTGGCGGAGAAGATCTCGGAGAATGTCCAGAAGATCATCGGGCTGGTGTCGTTCCTCATCACCTCCGCGTCCATTCCCATGGTGATCTGGAAGCTAAGGAAGCGCGAGAAAGTGAAAGAGAACAGCGTCCACCCGTCGTCAACCGGCAGCAAACGCACCGGGACCACCAGTCAGCCGATCGACCCGGCGACGAATAGCACCCAGCCGAGTACCCAATCGGCCACCCTTCCAGCGACTAATAACACCTCGGCCACCGCCCAACCGGCGGCCAACCAGCCGGCTGTCCCTACCCGCCCGCAGGCGTCAGCGCCGTCTAATGAGACGCGCGATCGAGACCGTTCGCAGGAAAACCAGGCGAATCTGTTTATGGGGGTGCTGGGGATCAGTATCCTGATGTGCTGGGAACCGTATGCGATTTACTTCGGATTCCAGAATGTGTTTGGATATTTCAACGCAGAAGCGTTCGCCACGGTGATTATTCTGTCCAATTTACAGTCGGTGGCGGAGCCTATTTTGCTATTTCTGACGTTGCCGAAATGGAGGAAAGCCATCACGGATTATTTCGCGGCTTGCCGGACCCACTGATGCAATCAGACGGAAATTTCGCTGGAAACTGCGAGAAACTGTTAACTTTTCCCTGTTAAAAACCCTTTGTTAAAACAGGAGTGAGGTAATTAAAAATTGAACTGGAAAACAATAAGGCTTTAATTTTGTCCCCAAATATAAAAGAAAGTTTAAAAACCTGTTTTGCATTACCGCACCGTGAAACTCAAATTATTCGCCTACACTTCGCCAACGAAACTTTAGTTCGGGCTTTTGTGAACAAGTACAGCCAGTGAAGCACCATATTAAATAATAAATAAAAAAGTTTTAAGAAAATTTGCACTTTTTTCTTGGAATATTTAAAGTATTTTTTTCAAACGAAGTATCTGTACATACAGCAATGTAGTAATTTTTAATTTGTTTTTGCATTTAATGTAACGATGTATTTTCATTTCAAACTTCAAACAAGAATAAATACAAGACACGGCGATCCAATACAGACAATGCAACGCTTATCCATTCGCATTAAAATTTTTCCACATGTAAACTCAAACAAATATCCCACAACAAAAACCACCCATTCATCAACACACAGGAACACAGGGCTGAAAGCATAGTTGAAAAACCCATCACAAACCTGAAACAAAGTGCGACAAGGGAGAGACTAGATTCAAAAGTCATTGTGGAACGTCTCGTCGACATTCATCAGCTTGCTCTGCTCGAAGAGATCCCGGTGCTGCTGCACCTCCTCCAGCGACAGCCGGCCGTCCTGGTTCTCATCCGCCGCGTCGATCAGCTCGTCGGCCTCGGTTTTGGCGTGGATGTGGTTGCGCGGATTGAGGAACTGGCCCAGTTCGTCGGGCGACGCCCAGCCGTCCTGGTTGGCGTCGATCACCAGGAATTCCTTCCGTCGCTGCTCCTTGAAACGTGTCTCGTAGTCCTGTACCGTAAAACCAAGCAAATTTAATACGGTTCAAGAAGCAAAAGATAGGGTTCGAAACATTTCATAATCTTCAATAATTTTAACAATGGCAACGGCACTACAATTAAAAGATCACGCTCGCCGATATATTGCCACTGCTCTACAAATGCAACGATTTTTGCGATCATTTTATCCTGAGCATGTGCAGCGTACTGCACAATACACAGTTTCATTAACATTCGTTTATCCGAAAAAAAGCACAAAACAATTTACTGCAATAATTTATTATTAAAAGCAAAATATGTAAAAAAATAAACTAAATTTAATTTACTGTTACAAACAAAAAACCTAATGCATTACTACTAAAAAACTGAGCTTTCCCTAAAATTTAAATCCTGTGGCTTGTCATGCTTGGCCGCTGGCCGTACTTTTTTAAGCCAAACTGTAAATGAAATTTAAAACACAGAAATGCTCCCAATGTCCTGATTACAAAGGAGTTAACTATAGCAATAACAAGTGGTATATCGACTCAGAAATCGAAAACCAACGCCAGAACAATTCATTTCTTTGCATCTTAAAACTTATTTTAATATATGCGCGTTATCCGCTCACGTGAACCAAGCGTAGCCTTACCTGAAAACCCTCCTCCACCTGACCAGGCGGTGGCGCCGTGTACTCCTCCTCGCTTAATTTCCCATCATTATTTTTATCCAGATTTTTAAAGACATCCTTGGTCAGCTGCAGCAGGGTCTCTTTGCACAGCTCCGGATGGCGGAAGCAGAGGAATTCATGCTGATTCAGCACGGCATTCCGGTCGGAATCCGCCACGTCCCATTCCTCGCGCAGACTGGACAGATCGTTCTTTTTCGTGCTGGATGGATGTGCTTTGTACCAGGTCTGGAACTCGTCCCACGAGACCACAGCGTTTCTGTTCACGTCGGATTCAGTGAAGATTTTGCTTAGCTCACCTGCAACGAATTTCCTTTTGGTTTTTATTTGACGAACATGAATTATTTTCAAGAAAACCAAATTCGTCCCACAATTATAGAACATCAACTTGTAAAATCAACAATCATTCACAAAATAAAAGTTCATATCCAAAAATTTGATTTGATTTGAATCGAATTATCGAAACCTATTTTAATAATCAATTTTCATAATTCTGAATGATAAAAAAATTTAAAAATTCGATAAATAAATATTCGACGGGTAAAAAAATCAAAATAACGAGGAAAAGCACGCCTTTCGAAATCGTTATTGCGAAAAATTCAAGAATAACTTATAACAGTAATAAAAAGTTTTAATCCAGCCTTTAAATAAAATTAACCAGAAAATAATTGGTTAAATTAAACCAGAAAAAAATTCGCAAAATTGCGCAAAAGTGGCAAAACACGACGATTAACTAGAAAAAGAAATCCCGAAAAAAGTAAACTGTAACGATCACGCCAGTACCTTCGCCTTCATCCAGATGCTTCTGCGTTTTATCAACAATCCACTTCTCAATCTCCTCCGCCGTCAGAAACCCATCCGAATTCTCATCGGCCTTCCTAAATGCATCCTCCAGACTATCCCCACCGTCCACTAACACATCGGCTTTTTTCCGCAGAATATACCGCTTCCCATCCTGCACAAACTCATCCAGTTCCCGATGGGAGAAGGCATTCCACGAATGCACTATCAGCGAGAGGAAGCCGAGACCAGCGACGACGGCTGCGATCTGTATACACGTCCGGACACGCTTTCGTAGCACCATTCTACGCGACGACGCAAATGCCCAGGCACAATCTTAGCCACCGAAGACTGCTGTCTTAGCGCCGCTTCACATGATGCTTGACGTTGCGAAGGCCAATGTTTATACGGGGAAATATGCAGCGATAACGATGTAAACAAAAGGAAGACGATAACGCATGGCCGTGATAAATCGACGCACAGTCGCTCTGTGAAAGCGCTCAGCGGCCTATCGGGACGTGTATGATTCGGCGGTAAGGATTAAGATTGGTGAATCGTGATCATCCATCAGGCTGCGAGGATCAGCAAAAACTTCGATAATAAAATTTATCATATTCACTTTTCAAATTGCAAAAATTAAAAATTTAAAAACGCAAAAATGAAAAAACCATAACTAATCCGGGCATCTACGCTCTACGGGAAAACGTCTGAAGTCCAATTCCATTGGAATCTGTGAGCGCAGAACTCTGTTCTGCGGCTTCTCCCAGCGGATGTGACTTCCATTTACCAGTTACTGGTTTTGTCACCGGAACCGGAAATGAGGGAAGTAGTGTAGTCAACGTACACAACGCAGTGAACAGTTTTATAGCACTTCAGAAATTTGTCGTTTTTGCAGTTTTACTCTCTTTTTTAAACTTTTGAATTCTGTACAATTGTATACTGTATATAAAACACTTTAGTACTGTTTTCGATTTCGTGTTTTGTCGTTTTGTGATTGAAATTTTGAATACGAAGTACTGTACTGTATATGAGTGTGTAACTGTGTGTTGAAGAAGCAGAAGCTCCATTGATACTGGTCTCATTTTGTCGAATGTGATCACAGTCTGTAAAGTGTGAACCTGCCTACATTTTTTGCCTACCGTGTACCACCGATTTACATCAACGTTCTTGCTGATGTGCTGCCCCGCTGGTGCTGAACATGTTGTTCGACGACGGCCGGGACTGCAGGAGGCTGATTGAATGGCATCTGTAAGCCTACTTCTATAGCTGATAGCACCGTGGATGAAGTCGGGAACTTCAGTGCTTGGTAGTCGGTAGATGAGCACTGCGCGCCGTTAACACGTCCGTCTTGAAGCGCACGTTTGAAGTCCAAAGAATAACATCATCAGATTCATTGGCAGACGTAATTAGCCACGATGCGCATCCCCAACCCCTTGCACCTCATCCAGCGCCTCCTGTGCGACTCGGGCCTAGTCCAATGCGACGCCTACTTCTCCTTCAGCCTGACCATCACCATCCTGATCTGCGCCCACTTCCTGGGCGTCTACGACATCCTCCTCTTCGAGTCCTCCTTCCCCTCCGACTTCTCCTGGCCCCCGCACGTCTTCGACGACGCCTCCTTCGAGACGTACCAGCGTAACGCCGACGGTCGCAAAATCGACTACCCCGAGTTCTCCTCCAGCCTGACCAGCTCCTTCGAAGAGTGGAAGCTCAACGCGGCCTTTTGGCGGCTGGAGAACGCCAACGACTACTCGGACTGGCCGGCCTTCGCGCCGGGGATGATGAGCATGGTCGGGCAGATCCCGGTGATCAAGACGCACATCAAGTACCTCCAGGCCATCACCAACCCTGTGGATCTCCCCCCGCCCGTCGCCTGCACCGCCACGGAGGACGCGGCCAAGAGTCTGGGCCTGCTAATCGTCGTCAAGTCGGCGCTGGCGCATTTTGAGCGGCGCGCCGCGATTCGAAGGACCTACGCCGCCGCAGTGCACCGTCGCGATGCGCAGCGGGATTTCGAGGTGCTGTTTGTGCTGGGAGTGGCCGGGGGGAACGGGGTGTCGGGCAGTGGGGAGTTCTCGTGGGATCTGCAGGAGCGGGTGGTGCGCGAGCAGGCGGAGTTCGGGGATTTGGTGCAGATGCGCTTTGTGGATACGTATTTTAATAACACGGCCAAGACGGTGGCGGGGATCCATTATGTGGTGGATAATTGTCCGGTGCTGGATCCGCGACATGGATTCTTGTTCCTGACGGATGATGATATGCTGGTTAATGTGGAGAATTTGGAGAAGCTGATTGAGACGGTGAAGGTTCAGCGGGAAGCGGAAGGAAGTAGGTTCTGTTTTTTTAATAACACTTTTAAATCGGTATAAAGATTTTTGGTGAATACACCAATGATATTTCGCCTCCGTTTTTCGGAAATTAAATTCTGTTATGAAGTAGATGTATGTTTTAATGATTTTTTGCCTATTTTTAATAGAAAGGGATGTTGTACATGATTTTTAAATATTTCTTATCATTCTAAGAGATTGTCAAAGAGTTTTTGCTCGCACTGAATAAAAGAAAAAAGAGAATAAATTTAATAGAAGTTTTCAAATAAATTATCCGCACTTTATTAGGAATATTTTTAAATTACGGGCGCAGTGTTGAAATGTTTTTCAATCTGAAGACGGCGTAATATGCTAGTTAATTTTGCGTACCGTAGAATTCTTAATGTGTGGAAGTGTACTTTTAAAGCTCGTTAGTTTTTTTAAATCTCGCCATGTAAGATAATATTGTGAAATTCCTGTTTGTTTGTTGTAGTTAAAGATGTTTATTTGGGCTACAAATTCCCGGGTTCCAAGCCGAAACGCTGGCGATTATCCAAATGGTATGTGTCCACGAACGAATACCCTTTCTCCTGGTATCCTCCCTACATTACCGCCGCGGCCATCCTCCTATCCAAAGACACGGTAGAGAAATTCTACTATGCTTCACACTTTGTCCCGTTATTCCGCTTCGACGACATCTACCTGTCCATCCTGGCGCACATGATGGCCGTGGAGAGTCAGCATTACGGTGACGCATTCCATTTTGATCATCTGCCGTTCGATGAGAAGACATACAAATTCTACCGGGACACCGTGGTGGCGGTGCACGGCTACCACGATCCGGATTTATTAGAGAGGACGTATGACAAGTTGAAGAAGCTGATGGGACGCGCTTGATGGATTTTTTATCAGTATTATGCGTCGTTTCAGTCTAGTCGCGGGATTCCCGATGTGAACAATATGTACAGTACTGCAGAGTGTTTTAAATTATTTTCACCTTGTTAATGAAAAAACACCGTTGCATTCGGTGAGTTTATCTTGATGAGTGCAGCAAGGCTGAAATAATGATGATTTTTTCGGTAATTATGTTAATTTTTGAAACATTATTAAATTGTTTTCAGACTGACGTATGAAGATTTGTATCTGGTAAGGTTATTTTGAAATAAAATATGTTGGCGAAAATTAAAAATCCAAAGAAACGAATTTTATTTCTTCCCTTAAAAACGCTCGTTTGTCAGCGCGCAAAAATGGTCGCGCTCACATTCTCTGCAGCAAAGTATCTTCTAAAAATCAGTCCCAAAAAAATACTAAAATACTAAACGCCACATTAACAGTCGACCGTTAAACAATAAAACGCAGCCTTCTGGACACTAGTAAATCATTTGTTTAAACAGACAGCCATCGAACTAGTAAAATCAATAACGTTTTCCGATCGGCAAGAGCGCCTCTCCGCTTCCCAGATGGTGAGTGGCGTGCGTGATTGCAGTATCAGTTATTCACCTCAGGAAAAATCCCAAAATATTAATTAATAAATCCCATAACGGAAAGACAAGCTGGTACGCAGATCAAGTGGATCTGGCATGCAGACAACACAATGCGGAAACACGATTACACACAGCGTTATCTGTTACAAAGGTAACACTTACTCGCAGATACTAATCAATGTGCCAGGGTCCCCTTCCACTACCATTTGGATGACCAGTTTTCCTCGCGCTTCGTAATGGTGAGCAATGGATAGGAAGTAAAAATCTTTCAACTGCTGATATCCGCCGGACGCTTCCAGGGCTGCATGAACATCTTTACTGTCGGCGGCTGCGTTCAGTTCGTCAAACTGTCCGCCACTGCGGTTAGCTGCAAATCAAAATCACTTTAAAATCGAACTAACTACCGCGGCTGTTTGAAATGATCTGAAATGATAAATGTTTTAAAAAATAAAATTTGAGTAAAACAACTTAAGCGAGAAAAGCCACCTAATAAAATTAAGGTCTGACAAAGGACACACAAAAATGTGAGAATGAACGAGAAATTAAAATGCTATTTTAATTACTTACCACCGCAAATTTATTTAGGACAAATATTGAGAAAGCAGATATTTTTATGAAGTTGACTTCATCTCAGAAAACGGCTCAAAAGCGTTTGAATTTCAGCCTCATATGTAAAATTATTAAACCATGAATCCACATACAAACTTGGATCTGGATTACACCGCGTGCTGGTTTAGGAACTTGAACGCCAGATGGACCCGCGACGTTTTCTATAACAGCATAACAAAAAGCGTTATATGAAATTTTGTTGTTATGATACACTGTTTTTGGCATTCAAATGTATTTGGGTTTTCTGATATAAAACAAGCAAATGCTTACAAAAAAAAACAAATAACAATCTTGCTGATCAACAAAAATCAAACCATTCTCAACGTGCGGTCCAACAATGCACAATATTGTGCCATTACACTACGATCGCGTACACAAACAATTATAGCGATTCGATTTCATTAGCACACAGAGTAGCATAGTCTATTTTTATTTCGATAAATGAATATTATGGCTACAGCCCGACAAAAATTTATCGACAAAAATAACTGTAATAAAACACGTTTATCGAAAAGCCAAATTATTTAGGAATTCTCCAATCAGTCAAGAGAAAAAAGTCAAAATTTTTTCAATATTTTTGTCGCATTTACCGTTCTGTTTGTCATCGGCAACGCTGCCGTCCACATCCATGGGAAAACCTATCGAGATGTTCGGGTCCGAGTCAAATAGAAAGGGGGAATCAAAATCTAGAAAAATAAGATGCAACGAATTATTGTGGTAAACTGCCGTTAATGTTAATTTGGCCAAAAACCTAAATTTATTGCAGCTTTTGAGAATGTTATTGAGCCTTAAATGCTTCTTTCGGTATTGCGCAAGTAGTCCAAAGGACATACGCACTGGACATACGCGCACTGGACATTTGCGCACTGGACATACGCACAGTTTCGAAGCCATTCAATATAAAATTCCGAATAAAGAAAAAAGGAGAAAGTTAAATTATGTAACAACTTGTATATAGTAATCACTTAAATTAAAAACAACACGACAGGAATATACGAGTACAAATGCTTCTACAGGGGTGCCGCGCCAAGTTTGGGCAGTTTTTCTTAAAAATCGCTATAGGTCACCCACCAGTAATTTACTACTTATTCGATTATTTTATAGTCACCGTGTGTCTGCAGCATCTTTTTCACTACGAGTAACGACGCTGAGGGCGTGGATTGCATTAGAGCAAGACTTAAATTAAAGCAGACCAGGTTAAAAATGCGGTTAGACCCGTCAACCATTCTTTCCTTCCACCCACTCTGATTTTGTCAAGAAATTCCACTAATCCTAAATCTCAAAACTAATTATGCTGGGCTGTTTGCCATTCAAAGCAAAGCTCTTGCTAAATACGTCTGACACCGCTTTATTTCAATAAAGGCTACGCGACCTTTGCAATATTACTGGAGGCACTGACAAAATGAAGGATGGTGCCCTTTGCAAGCTTGCGCAGCAATCGCGGAAGGTCGGATGTGCCCATGATAAGTAAAATATTGCTCGGTAAGCATTGGGAGACAACTGTCGATTGTCATTTTTAGACAAAAAGCCCCCCACATCTCGTTACAAAACCTTTTAGCACCAAGGAAAACTTTTTTGACCCTCGCTTTGTCGGCTTTTTCTTTGAGTTTGCCGCCAGCTCTATCTTACCGCCTGCTTAGTAGATACCAGAAAAAACACAAAACCCCTCGACTTTAATGCATGTTTCATTCATCGAAAACATTATCTCGAAGTCGCTTAGCTCTGCGCGCTAGGCAACCGCATTCTTCCGGGAGCACTATTTAACATACAAGTCTATGGGAGCTGCACATTTTTTGGGGGTCACCTCGAATATCAAGCACGCAAAAGTTTTCGCTGACCCATACCACATACCTCTCAGTCTCAGGCCACTCAACAGTTTATAAAACTGTCCATGGATGGAAGATTTTCTGGAAGGCCAGTTATAAGCTGTATAAAAGTGACTACTACCCCATCCAGGTTTTAGCCGAATGGCAAATTATTGCCACTTTTAACATTTTAGCTTTTAATATATTCTGATCCGAAATGAAAAGTTACACAAGAAATGTGCAAAACGAAAAATAAACCGAAGTACAGAAATATTTTAAAATTTGATTTACGCTACTGCCCAAACTTGGCGCGGCACCCTGTACGTCAAAAGCCTACTACAATTTTCATCGAAATTCGAAAGAATAAATTACCATTGTATCAATAATTATTGTGAATTATAATCGTTAACAGCTGAAACCAAAACTTTACCGAAATGAAAAATCTAATGAATTTAAATTAATTTTTAAAAAAATTTCAAATACCGAAAAAATACAGTCTCATCTCGTGTTAATCGGGAAAAATTCGTCTTGCAAAAAAAATTTGCAGTCAATGGCAGTTTCAACCGCGCATGCCATCCTGGGCGACTGTCGAAACAGCTCGTAACGGTAACACCTAAAAATACGATATACATAGGTCTACATTGACCGGTTACTTGCAACAGGTGGTTATCATGTGAAACAAGTAAAACAAGACTCTAGGCAAGGGGAAAAAGTAAAGCAAAAAAAGACTCAAGCAAGGCTGCATTAAAACTAATTCCGAGGGAATTCTTACCATGCGATGTCGACGAAATGTACGGGAATTAGGATTCTGTTCTTCCTTTACAACGTCAACAACCAGTGGACCGATGATAAAGTAAGGCAATAAGCGCATTCAACGTTTCAGCTTAGAGATTTCCCAAGATTTCCCAGAACTGGTTCTTGTTGCCACTCGCGCGAAGTGGGACCGATTTTTCATGTGACCTTAACTGTTGATTTGGCCTACTGACGCTGGCAGTTTTTCAGGGCTCCAGCCAATTAAACGTTAGCCTTGATACGTCAAAGCAAAAAAACTATATACAAAGACAGCAGTTAACTATGAAAAAGCGGGAACGCCGGGAAGCGGACAAACAAGAGAAAACCGGCAGGCTAGCAGATTCTAATTAATCAGTAAACCTAACGGTATTTTTTCTTTCTACACCGTATTCCTGATCACTTACACTCCGTATGTACGCATAAAGATGTCTATCCCGTAGAAGGCGAGAGTTCCCCACAGTGAACACTGTCATATACGGAATAGTGCGTCGATTCCGTAAATGGCCATCCTGCTTAATATTCTGACATCCACCAGTCGCATGTCGACCTTGGCCCAAGTTTTCGGTCGACCGTCGGGTTCAAAAGGACTGAACCTGCGCACAATATTGCAGTTACACCCAGGGCCATAGCACGCGATATATAAATGTATCTCAACGGAAAATGGCCGCACACGAATTAACTAATGGGCAGCCAAGGCTCCAGCGAAAATAATTGGGTTACACTACCTTTCACTAACTTCTACTCCGTACACTACCTTTCATTCCGTTCTAAATTTTGGGTAGTTTTTACTACCTTTCATTCGGTACATTATGTTTTCATTGTTTCAAGCACCACCTTTGACTCCGTGCACTGCCATTCGGCACTGCCTTTATCTGCGTGCACGACCTTTTAGTCTGTAATTTTTTTCACATCAAAATTATTTCCTTAACTTCCGTTTTTTCATTAACAGTTGTCATTGCTGCGAAATTTAAGGCATCACCAGCAGTTATAAAATTGAATTCCCGTGCGTAAGTAACTCTCGGCGCCCGTGTGCCGGTTTTTCTTCGCTTTCCGAGCTTGACTTCGCTTTCCGAGCGCAGTGTCATAGTAAGGAACAGGGCCCATAGTAAGGAACAGGGCCCGTGACCCGCCATATTTCGCCGTCGAAAGTTCGTTGACCGACAGGCCGTCGAGCAAACACGACGTCGCACCGTCACGATGTCGCGCCATCGTTTTGCTAAACTGTCGTAGTTTTTTTAGTTTTCTTCGCTCTCTAAATAAGGTGATGACGTTAAGCAGTACGTCGGTGGCTATACCAAGAATTAATTACAAGGAAAAATGAATTACTCGTACTGTATTATAAAGTTGGCTGGTGGTGGCTTGGTGCTGTCATTTTCATGTCAAATTGTAAACTTTTTGTGCCCAGTGCAGCAGCGCCTACGCGCCAGGGCCGAGCATTGTGGATCTGCTGATTGCAGAGCCGTGACTAATTCTGATAATTGCACTACGCACTTTCAATTATGGTTCACAACACTGCCATTTAGCGGTACAGACGCTGATTCTCATGTGCGTACGGAACAAGGCCTATTGTATTAGCGGCAGTGAGCAAATTACTAACATTGGTCGAAGACAAAACAAATACAACGGATTCACTAATCACTTGATGTTGATAAACTGAGATTTATAAACATAAACTTACATTAAGAGATAACTGCGAATGGGCTGCCAGTCCCCGGGATAGTCCAAGGTGCGCACCCAGCGAGCATACACCGCCGTGACCTTTGCTAGCATTTCTTCCGTGACCGCTGGAAAGTTGTCGTTCAAAGCGTACATGAAGCGGCTGGCTATGTGCATTTTGTCGTCGTCGCAGCGCAGCAGCAACCGCGGAATGGTGATGCGCAGTTGGTCGATGGGCAGTTCATACGCCGACTCCTCCGTAAGATCCTGCATGAAGGCCTGCTCGTGCGCTGGTAAGAACGTTCTTTCGGCATTGTAAGAGTCTTCTTTAAATACGAAGTACACTGCTCCACCAAAAAGATGGTCCGATGACCAGTTGAGGAGCAGGATGAACTTGCAGTTCTCTTTATGATATCTCACCATTACAACTGCAGGATGCTGAAACTCTTCCTCTCTCGTCCAGCCCACTGTGCCGAGACCCATGATCTCATAGTCTTTGAAAACAATTAACGGCAACGTAATCTTCATGGCAAACAGCACTTCCGATAAAAAGAACGTATTGTGTAGACGAGAAGCTTCCAGTGCGGTAAGGCTTTCGGTGGTGGTGGTGATGGTGCGGCTCAAGAGCGATAACAGGCGGAAACAGTTGTTGTTGTCGCACTGAATTCCGGCACAGCTTCCTAACGAGATGCTGATGTGCTTAGTTAGACTGGGACTACTTAGCAGTAGCCGCCACAACGCACACACCCTGTCGAAGTAGACATACCATTAGAAAACAGACACATTCACACAAGAAGACAGTTAGCAGCGTGTGTGATCTAACCGCTTCGCCCGCATTTGTGAATGCAGGTCCATGTAGAGAAATATCTGGCTGAAGAGCCACGGCGGCAAATGGCACAGATGACTAGCTGCGGAGCACGTGTCGGGTTCCGCATCTAAGGAAAGAATTTCATGACAGAGTAACCAATGTACAGCTAAAATCACGTCGAACAACGTACAGCACTACAAAAGAAGCCAGGGCGACTTCTCGGGTGGACATTATTCTTAACTAATATTAAAGTACTACCAAACTTATGCCGATTCCGGGCACCGTTGAAGCGTAGCTACTGCCGACCTAGCGACGTTGGTAGATGGCAGCACTCTGCGGCGGCCAGCTCATGCATGGTATGCTGTGAAAACGCTGAGTATCAGACCATTTCTTGATCAGGTAAACACCGGAACAGCGACACTTCGGAATTTTTTGACCAAAGACATTCGCAAAACTCAAACGCACTACGGCCAGTGTTGTATTTACTATTGCCCCAACACCTTTCTTACTTTTTACTTTTCATCTGGCCGTTGCTTTTACTATTTACTTTTCATAATCGTTCTTCTTTACTTTTACTTACTTTTTACTTTTTTTATCGTAACCTTACTTACTTTTACTACTTAGTAATCACTAGTAAAATAGTATTTACTATTCGTGTTTTGCGATAAATCGCAGTACGCGACAAAAGTCCAGTTTTGCTATTCGTTTCTAAACATATTACGTATCTAAAACAAACATAACTCCTTCATCCTTGTACTCTGTGTCAGTGTGCACACCGATTAATTTTAATTTGTGCTCAGAAATTTGTTTCAATGAAGCGATTCGGTTCTGTGTAAAATTACAGTACTTATTTATCGACAAAAATTAGCAAAGTCATTACACCGTATCCGGTGCCAAGGTAAGTATTGCAGTGAAGCGGCACTAGCTAATATGCCTGGCAGTCACGTAATTCGCCCACCTAAGCGGTTGAAAGCGTCTGCGGTGCAGCGAAATTTTAGCGATTCAGAAGAAAACCTGTACTGCCAAACGTAAATGCTATGGAAAAAAGCATGTTCAGCAGCATTCTGTTGATGCCCGTCACTTTTATCTGTTGCGGACGCTTAGTAAAAAGACTGATCTACTAATTAAACTATTCCCGTTTCGCGCCTCTTACTTTTACTTACTATTTACTCCTCAAGCCTCGGCTGCTCTAACTTTTACTTTACTTTTACTTTTCCGTTTTGCTGCTTACTTACTTTTTACTTAATTAGTAAGAGACAAAAACGGCTTACTGAGTAAGGTTTACTATTTACTTTTACTAAGTAATTAAGCAACACTAGCACTACCCCACCGGGATGTGGTAACTGTAACACGAGGAAGGGAAACCTAGTAGGTTTAACGTGGCAACATGTGTCCTTTGCATCTACATCCGACAAGACGGTGCAATAATCAGGATAACACAAACCACTCCATACACTATTGACCATGGTCTAAACAGTATGTGCTGCTCGCTTACAGTGGTGTGAGCCTTTGAGGTATTGAACTTCTAAGTATGTGTAACAAAATAGTAAAATTCAGACAGTCATTCTTTCCTATCTATCTCGACATTGCCAACGGAGTGTTTGACGCTATCGGCTGTGGCTCTAATACGCTCCGAACTGAACTGCATCTGACCATGGGTTCGCTGTCAAATGGGGTTCTTACCAACGAGCAGCGACAGTGTTACCTGTTTCGTGTAGGCTGCGCTGAACTATACGTCCCTTTTGACCAATCGCTGGCAGGTGGACCCGGCTGGCTAGGTGTTCCTTCAGGACTTGGGTTATCATTTCCCCCGTAGTCTGTGCCATCTGCGCGTCCATCTCGGGGGTCATGACAACAAAGATACAGGCATCCCGTTCAGTTCGCAAGTGAAAGCGACAACAGTCCAACAGGTAGTGCCGGTACAGCTGGGATCTCCAAATCCGTTTAAATGCACGCCGAAAATGCCTGACGAGACGAAATTTGTCAGAGGCGTCACTGAGAAGCGTCTGAGCTCGGGAAAGGGAAAACGGCACCAGGTACTTGGTGCACTGCAGACCCTTGCCCGAGTGATGCAGTAAAGGGGAACCATCGGGCGGCAGCCGTACGGTAATTTGACAGTTATCAGCCATCTCACAACCAGGGCTGTCTGGTTGACCGATGCTGCTGGCTCTGTCGGTTTTGATATAGAACACCTCACACTTCTCGCATCCACTTAGGCAGCCCAGCTTCGTGACCGGCCGGAAGCGAAACGGTCCGTCGTCTTCGTCACGCAGTGCCGCATAAACGATGAAATTCTTCGGCTCCGGAACTGAGCCGGTGTTTATATAGAACGGAAGCGCCCAGACGCGCCCCATGTGCACCCAACGGGCCGTGACCTTTTTGGCGTCAAAGTGGATGAAGGCCTGATCGCCGTTCATGTCCTGGATGTACCCTAGCCACCAACTGTCGTCAACATTGTGGACCGCCACCGTGTTCTGGTAGCTGATCTGGTTGACATCCGCCAAGAGCGGCTGAAACCGCGGCATTATTAACGGTGTACAGTCCATTACTGATGGGCCTAAAGAAAAAAATGTGTCAAGTTCCAACAAGCACTTAATCCGATTAGGCTGAACCGCACATATATATGTAACCGGAACTTCGCTTTATTGCAATTATAATTCACATATGCTCATTTTAGGAAGCATAAATTTTACCGCAAAATTTACACTTATATAAATGTGCGTATTGTAAAATTAATTATACTAAAGCAAAGTGCCCGTAAAATACTTGTACGTAAACTTTTACGTGCAGGGTACATGCAGTTTGCGGGCACATATGCAACCCACAACATCGATCGTGCAATTTGCACGTTATATGTTATAAGAAAATGGATGTTTACAAAAGTTGTCATGTCCGTTGCAGTTTATTTTTTTTACTGGTTAGCGGGTACAAGATTTTGTTACGCTGAAGATTTTGCCGATACGTCCGATAAACAATATTCCAGAATCAAAACAATACAATTCAAATCCTGTCCGCTGTCCGACCGATTTGGACATCGAAATTCGTATTCTTACTGATGTTTCACGACGATTTATCGCATCAGCGCTGATGTCAGCTTCTCTTTATTTTATTTTCAGCCGTGAAATTTTTTGGATAAATTTAAGTTGATGCAACTGTAATTTAACTTGATAAAGGTCAAACGTAGCATACACTGCTAGGGCTCTATTGCCGACAAAGTTTTGTTTGTTATAAAAAGGAACATCAAGTAACATTAAAAATAACCATAAAAAGGTCTTTTTGCCTGGACAACACGGCTGCTCAACCAAAATGCCATACTAAAAGTGAAAAGGGCTTCTCTTTCATGACAACTTTCGGTACGGCAGCCAAATCACACGGCCACCGCCGCACCTGGCACTTGCAAATGCTTCACGCTCCGGAAGCACTGGAATACGCTTGTTTGAAATTATCGTCAGTGAAGGTAATTCATGTGCTCAGAGAGACCTTTACGCAGGGTATTCAGGGCAACGAGAACAAATCGCTACAGCCTGCAAGCTAGCGAGCGGCGAATCTGTGCGCTTCGTCGGCAGTAAAACGGCAACACTAAAAATTTCGATAAACTAAAGGTTGCGCATTCACAGCTTTTCACTCGAATACAGATCTCAGGGCAATGTACAGTAGTTCGCAAAATACTTTAAAGATGCGTTTATATTAAATTTTTAACATATGCAGTAACATCGGAAGACTGACTACTGACACTACTCGTAGAAATTCAGACAACTGGAAAAAACTGACAGATAGGTAGTTGGTTTAGCAACTGAGAGCGAACGATATCACTATGCAATAATTTTCATACAGCAGTAGTTCGTAGTAACCATGGTGATTAATTTTAATTGTTTAAATTTCGATCAGTTTTAATAATGTGTTAGCTGCACTGGCTTATTAGAACGCGAACTGAGTGTTGCCGATTAAAGCAAAGTACCCACTACCCAGTACCCAATGCTGGATTTACAAATAATTTTAAAAAAACACCTTCCGAAATAATCAAAAACGCGCTTTAAATGTAAATAAATTTTCATTTCCATATTCGATCTAAGAACTCAAGTAACGAATTCAGAAAGTCAGTTTGATCGAAAAAGTAAAAAAATACTGAGTACAGCTGAAGTCGTTAACTAATTGATCCATGCTGCATCTAAATTATTCTAAATCGTAATCTTGTCACTGTTGAGCTATGGCCTATGTACATCTATCAATTTTCTACATTATTTGTGCATTATTGCACGGAAAACTAAAAACCCAGGAATGCAAATTATGCCTTAAGGGATTTGGCCCGGTACATGGTACCAAATTCGGGTACATCCACGGCAACTTTCGCTGACGCGCACCCCCAAACACTTTTTTGCATTGCATTATGATATTTTGTAGCCAAAGGATTCGTATACATAGGCGAAAAAACCGTTTGTGCGCGCAACATCTGGTTCGGGAGATATTAGTGAAATAAAATTCCAAAAGTTTAAACGCGCGGCGGTGTACCAAAAGTCTCATTATGAACCGATGCTCTTCAAATTTTGCACGAAAACGCACATTATCATGAAGATCATTTTGGTACCGAACCAGCTTTCTGCCATTTTTTTCTTCCATTTTAAAATGAATTTCAAAAAGTTTGAAATTCATTTTAAAATTTGAATGATCTTCATGATAATGTGCGTTTTCGTGCAAAATTTGAAGAGCATCGGTTCATAATGAGACTTTTGGTACACCGCCGCGCGTTTAAACTTTTGGAATTTTATTTCACTAATATCTCCCGAACCAGATGTTGCGCGCACAAACGGTTTTTTCACCTATGTATACGAATCCTTTGGCTACAAAATATCATAATGCAATGAAAAAAGTGTTTGGGAGTGCGCGACAGCGAAAGTTGCCGTGGATGTATACAGATTTGGTGCTATGTACCGGACCAAATCCCTTAAAAGTTAAAAATCGAAATTAAACTTGTCAGGTTCAATCTGCAAAACGTGATATCCAGTTCCGTTATAATACTTACCATACTGACTTATAAAGTTATATTATACAAGTATCGGTCGCGCTAGCGCGCGACCAGTTGTGTTCGAGGTATTGAAAATGAAAAATACAAAATATACTTTGTACAGCAATAAAAATGATTTTGAGAAATATTTCAAATATGAAACCCCAGCAAGGCCAGCTACGAAAATACTTTAACATGTAGAAATGCGGACAGTTTTCAAGCTTTCCGGTTAAATTCGACCAGTATTACAAAAACTGTGAAAGCCTCCGCAGTTTTTCTTTTTGTTTGCATTTATCACGGTTCTTTTTCACGTTTTTAATGTAACTTTATATTGCCGATCTAACGAACTGAAAACTTGAATTTTTTTGTACTACCGATAATATTTAAACGGTGATTAAATGAATGCAGTGGGATCATTTACACAATGTCCACAAAAACCATTCAGCCGACATTTTAGCGAGAATTAACGGAAACTTGTGAGAAACAATTAACGGTTGCCCAAGGTGACCTGGCAGGCTGCATCTTTAGCTACTAATTGTAAGAATTTTCAGCCATTCAGTCAAGCTCTTCACTATTTATAAAAATAAAATAAACACATATTAATTATTAGATTTTGAGGTTAGTGAATACCCAAGCTACCACCAGTATCACAGAGCCGCTATTTGAGTGAATACGGTAAACGGGCTGCGGACTGGCTTTTAGATATTTAGAAATTACATATAAATTGAACAATTTAGACCGTGAAATATTGAGGTACACAGATTTTTAGATATTTTAAATTTTTAGATATTTTCCACTTTGGAGTCTCAAAAAATTAGAGGTAACGGCCCCGCTGCGCGGGGCCGAGTCGAAATATTTAGAAATATTTAGAAATTCTTGACATGGAAAAGCTCTGGAGCCGACTTTCGAAAAATTTATAGTTATTTTGAGGTACGAGGAGGAGCTACCTTGGCCCGATCAAAGGCATACGCGCGACCATTAACCGATCACTGTGCCCGGGTATTTACATGCTGGGCCCCGTGGGTGTGTAACACGGCTAGCCACCCAGCGGTGGCAGCGCACTAAAGTCCGCACTTAAAATAGCACAGCAGTTGATCGCTCAATTGTTTTTTACTTTTTTAAAACTTTTCCAAACAATATTTTAAAATTTAAAGAAAATAGAACTTTTATACAGATATCCCTTTCATTTCAAACCAAGAAAGTTACGCGTGGTGGAATCTCTCGTAGACATAGCATAGGATTTCAGCTAACGGTTCCAAGAAAGTATCTCAAGTTATATTTACGAAAATCCAAAAGGTTGTCACTAACTTGGTTCTCCTGGTAGAAATAAAAATTGCCTACTTTTTTCCCATATTTTGAAAAATTATCTAAATTCTTAGAGACACTTAAGAAACGAATGCTATAAACTGGATTTCTTCTATAAAAAACTATTTACGTGCTGATGCTTGAAAGCTGCCGTCGCGGGGCGGTTAGCCGTGCTGCACACACTTTGAAACAGTGATCGGTTTATGGTCGTGCGCATGCCTTTGATCGGGCCAAGGTAGGTCCTCCTCATATTCAAAGAGATTTAAAAACATCTTAAAGGTTTCAAGAATTACAAAATAATTATAAGTTTGATGGAATTGACAATTTTAAATAACTATAGTTTAGGTTGCTAAGTTGCGAAACTTGTATTTGCTCATTCGAGACGTTTCTAGAATTTACTGGAAATTTCTAAGAACTTTAAACGCTGAGCACTGAAAGTTTGAAAGGGTTTTGAAAACGTTCCCAAAACCAAAATTTTTTTCCAAGCTACAGGTAGGAAGCTTTAGAAGATGCTGGATTTTATAAAATAATCAAAAGCTTCACAAATGGAATCTCGAATTAGGAGATAAATTCCAAAAATAACAACCTTTAAGTACTAACAACCTTTAAGTACTACAGCTTCTAAAAATTTTTTTAGACCTTCTCCAAAACTTAAGATTTTTTAAAGATAAAGGTAGGAACGTCTGCGCGATGCAGATTTTTTAAAGATAAAGGTAGGAACGTCTGCGCGATGCTCTATTTTATAAAATTATCAACTTATTGAAAAAATCCATTTTGATTTAGGAGATAATTTCCAAAAAATAAGGACGTAAGAATATATGAATCTATTGATATTTATACTTCCGTTACTTATTATATTACGGAGAACTCCCGTTATAAAATATATGGGAATTTCAATCGGATAAGATTCAGACCTAAGGAACTCATGAAATGTAGGTTTTCTGCCATATCCCAATGTTTAAGACTAAAAAGGTTATTGTGCATAATATAATGCATATGCTGAATACGTATTTTGCAAAACTCCTGGGACCTTCGAAAGCTTAAAGAAGATTTACAGCGTTAGTTGTCTGTGCGCAGCAACCGTGTGGATGCTGAGTAAATATTCAATGCCATTTGCCATTTTTTTATGATGCAGAAAATAGCCCGGAAAGAAATGAACAATTTTCAGTCTTTCTCTGTACAAATAATACACGAAGATTCCATACATAATTACATTCCCAACATTTTCTTCGTACTTACAATAGCTTGCAGCGTAGGAACTTCAGTTAATCCAGCCAAGCTAGCGTAGAATAAGTCGATGCTGACAAATAGCAGACAAACCCATGCGTAAAACCATTACTCGTATGAATTGATCCAATTATAATTTTATTTTCTTAATTGTCGTACGAATCTTGATGCAAAAAAGCTCAAAACATACAGAACAAACTGTCACTAAATTGTGTGTTTACAGTGTACTGTATGTGTAGAAATATGAGCATGTATAATATTGGTGTAGAAGAGGAATTCAGTGCCGCATGATAAGTACACGTTCGTCTGTTCTGTCCCAGTCATCCGACTTGATGGCTAGAACAGTGTGTACAGGGAACTTTTGGGAAGGTGTACAGCGACACGGAGGATTCTCTTCTATGCAGTTCAATAAGTAAGTTACGATTAATATTACCTATATGCACCATGTGATATGTCTCGGGGCTGTTCGCACTTACTGCAGCATGCGCATTTCACAGCAAGCACGCAGCGTGCCCAGGGACAGTCAGTCGTGAACAGTAACACGCTGCACGATCAAACTAGCTCTCCCAATTTTCTCGCATCTGCTGGCCTGCTGCCAGCCAGCGCCGTTAACCACCCCCGTTGGCTGATTCGATTCACATAGTAACCGCTCGCAAACTGTGTCTTACAAAAATAAGCTTGCACCGTCGTGACCGTACGATATTTCCTGTGCTTTAGCAGCTGGCATGGTGAACTTTAAACGTTGCGAATGCATGTACAGAGTACAACGTTTAAACGTAGTTCTGTATTTTCGTTTATATTTAATTGACAGCCGGTGGGGCTCACCGTGCTTCGAATAAAGTTCGAACGAAAACGCAGAACGACGTTCTTGTACAGCAATAATAATTAATGGCACTTGCTGTGCCAGTAAGTAGATCTGGTACAGCTAAAGTATCTATATATATAAATATTGTATATATTTGTAATTATATGAAAATTAATTATTTCTGAATACTGATTATGCATGCTCAAAAATTGTTAGACACGCGTCCCGACTGAGTATTAAGGGCACCGCGACATTTCGCCGTGGCCCGCGGACAACTAGTCGCAGGACATTCCGACGAAGATAATTTGATGCGAGGCCATTTCGTTTTGCGACCACTCGCCGTCGGACATTATGCCTACTGGACTCTTGGCCGCGAGACATTTCGGCGCAGGGCCGTTTCGACGCGGAGACATTTCGCCGTGGAGACAAATACTCGTAGCTTGTTTAAGTTTAACAAAAGAGTCACAAAAACATAAGAAAACATAAGAAACCACAAGAATCCTGTTAGATAAAGATATCACTTTTAATACACAATACCGAAGCTAACTGGTAATTTGGAATAGAGCATTTTTTATAACAGAATTCTGTGCGTACTAACAACGGAATTAAAAAACGCGCAAAAGGTTCACCGACATTTTGTCGACTAACATCTTCGTCGACAGTCACCAGGGCGACAGTTAACAAAATTAAGACAACATAAGAACACAAAGAAACCGAAGAACCTAAGAAACTTCCGATGACATAAGAAAAATAAGAAACCCAAGAAAACCTGAAAACCCTAAGTAAACTGAGACGATTTAGGAAAACGGCAGCTCAACTTCGTGACGGGTCGACATCGTGCCTGCTAGTCGAAGCGACGGTCGACGATTTTCGTCGATAAAATGGCGAGTCACCCGCGCACGGTATACGTTTCATTCGGCACCAATCATAATAATATTTTGCCACAAACTTCTCCAGATTGCCGATTGGCAAAGTATGTCATCCGTGATTATTTCACAACGGACATTTTTTCCGGTATATCCGCGTATTCATATAAGAGACTTCCATAGTTAAAAAAACGAGAATTCTGGTTTAACGATCAGAAATGCAAATGCATTGACTACAGAGCACATACAGAGTACTTACATTAATCATGCTTTAACCGCAGCGCTCTGTACTGTGGTTGTCATTTTAACATTTATTTTAACATTTACCAGTACCGGCTGTATGCTTCGTCGGTGGTATCCTGTGTAGTGTGTACCAAGTGCGACTACAAGCGCGCTAATTATACGAGCGTATTTTATACGTCAGTGTGTATGTAATTTGCTGATTACAAATGCTCCAACTTGTAGCGATGAAGCCGAAGCCAAGTAGGCTGAGGTGCTAGCTCTTCGGTGCACCTGATCCCTAAAGGTCTAAGCCACCTAGACGAACGGGCAGGGATGCGTGCAGCTCCACTGTATCGCGAAACAACGGGTCCAGCAATGAAGAGCTCTTGTGGGGACTTCCAAGCGAGAGAAGTGCACAAGATGTGCACGAGTTTTGGAACGCCCAGACAGCTTGTGAGCAAAAATAACGCTTGGTGATTGGTATGATTCGTTCGCAACTTCGCACGTCAGCTCAAGTCCGCCCCTCTTTTTTCGATCATCGGTTCAACTTACGCTGGCAATGCAGGGGATCCCAGTAGGTCCAGTTGGTCTGCCGGTACAACTTTTAGTGCAGGGAAGACACTGGAGAAGCAAAGCGGCATCTGTTCTTTAGGTTTCTGTTCCGCCGGAAAGAAATAGTTCGGTTCGCGCTTTACCAAAGCGCGAACGGTTGTGTCTTTACCAAAATAACCAAAGTCGCTAACTCTACCGGTACGAGTATGGAAGAAACAGCTCAGTTCTTTGTCACAACTCACAATACGATATAAATAATTATCATTCGGTCCACCTCTGCACAACACATTTGATCGCGGTGTTGCATACACCAGCTTGATTGGCGATCATCCATCGTCCATCAGGCTGAGAAAAACCCCAAAAAACAATCAGAATCAATCTGCCGTAACTACGCTTTACGGGAAAACTTGACGGTCTGGACTCGGGAGTCCATTGGAATATCTGAGTGAGTCTGTTCTGACAACTCATGGGAATCCCGTTTGGTAGTTACCGGCTTTGGAACCGGAAGTGAGGGAAGTAAGGTAGTCACATAGCACAGCCACAGCGAATTGCAGGCTCACAGTTTAGAACTGCAGACGTTTTGTCCTTTTCACTCGCTTTTTGAAGTTTTCGAATTTCACAAAATTTGATATTATTGACTTAACTGTTTTCATTCTGCAGCGTGACAGCGTCTATCAAGGGTTGTCATTATGTGGTCAAAAATTGGACTACTGTATCAAAGTGAATCTTATTTAAGCAGTGTCGAGGGAAAATCGAATTTACTGAAAATCAAGCGTAACTGGCATTTGACGCGGTGATCGGGGCGCACAAAAATAGTTAATATACACTCTGCAGTATTGTAAGATTGTATACATGCTCTGGTGTGTGACGCAGTGCCCCATGACGTTTTCCGAATTGATTGCGTCTGTTCGGTCGGTAGATTTTATCTTTTTTGAAGATCTTCTGACTTTCCTGAAATTAGCGACGTGGATGTTTGACATTGCGCAGTATTACACAAACCAGTAAAACCCTTTCAATAAACGTGTGTTCCTTTGCGTGATCGTGTAATCGTGTATCTATAGTATTTCGTCACACTGGCACCGTATTGATTCTTCTGTTGGCATACGAGTACTGCAAGTACGTAACAGTGCAACAGGTACTCCAGTGGTTCTTGAACTTGTATCCATTCTATTTTGTCCTTTCACATCGTGCATGCACGGATAACCGCACTGTACACCAGTGTCAATATGTAAAAACACAAAGTGCATGCATTTTGTGTTTTTATAATGCCAGTACACTGAGAAGAAAACCGCATTTTCAAATTTTTAAAAAAAACACGTGACCAAAAACCACGGGACCAAAATTACGTCATCCGTACCGATAAAAAATGCAGTGAAGTAATAAGGTGCAAGCTTACTAATGGCCAATACTTTTCGATAGGCTACCAGTAAATTTAATCCGGGTCGGATAGTGGATCCGATAAGAAATTTCATCGTTATCATTTGTTTTACCATCGACCATGTACTATTTTTATAAGTCCAGTCTGACCACGTATTAATGTTCAGCGAATTATTCTGCTCTAGAAAATGTTTTTGAAAATTTTTTTCTGGAACAAAATAATTCTGACTGCCGCCTTCCAGGCCACCACAGTATTCTGGGCGGTAGCATTGAGATCGAGGGCACAAATATTATTTTCGTCATTTTTACGCAGTTTCTAGGTACATTAATAACGCCAAATTCGGATTTGATGTTAGAAAATTGATATTAGCAGTGCGTAAAAAGGTTTTGCTGAGGAGGGTGTCGATAATCGATGTAATGGTTCTAACTGATGTAATTCTGTAGAATGTCTTACCGAATTCCGCGAATCCCTGAAAAGACCAAGGATGAGATGGAAGCGGAAATTATAACGCTGAAAAAAGATCAGCAGCGAGATGCGGCAAAGATCGCGGAGATTCAAAAACAGAACAGAGATCTGACACATCAGAACATCCTGTACCAACATCAGTTGACCCAAAGTAAAGTTACCCCTGATGAAGTGCTGGTAACGATTGCAAACCAGGCTACTTGTGATGGCTGGATTGAATACTGGTCTGAACGGTTTATTGGCCTTTTCGAAAAGCGCATCAAGCTTACGCCAGTTGTAAAGGCTCATGTTTCCTGGCGAAAGCAAGTGGCCACCGGCACTATTCCGGAAAACCTGCCGTTAGAGTTTCGTTGTCTGGTAAACGCTCCGGGTGTACTTTTCCCGGAATACACAAGTCAGGAAGAGTTGCAGCGCCAGAAAGATATGCGTTGGGGATTTTTGTTGAGTGTTCTCCATGATCGTTGCACAAACTTTGATGTCGCACGTACAAAGTTTGATGAAGAAGAGGAAAGCAACACTGATTTTGCAATTAAGAATATTGGTTTTGAAAACGTGGTTAAACTGAAAGTTCGCTGTTTGGAACTAGCCGATGCGCGAGCGCATAATAAGTCGGCGCCTGCAAAGTTTGAAAAGTTGCAGTAATGTTGACCATGTGTATGAATAAAGCTGCTTGTATTTCAGTAAAATATGGTAGCGGTCAGTAAACATACGACACAATCAGATTTTGACGTGTAAAAGGCACAGGCTATACAGAAATATCATCCCCTATGGCGGATAAACCGAAAAACCAATCTAACATGTTCCACAAACAACACTGCAGTAATTCGATATGCGTATAATTAAACGCATATGGGATTGCGATAGAAAAAAATATTTTTTTCTATTATTGCAGATACAATGGGCAGGCGCAAATGTATTGCCTGCCCGAATTTCAAGCCGGCAAGCCAGGCAGCGGCTGAATGCTTGCAGACGTACCACAAATTTCCTGATGCGAGCACTGACGGTTCGCGGTCTGCACTTTGGATAGCGTTTGCACGACAGGGTCCATCATGGAAGCCAACACGTCATTCTTATTTGTGCTCAGATCATTTTCACCAAGATTGCTATGAAACTACGGCGAAAGGGGATACCCGACTTCGAT